AGGTCCTCATTTTGGTTTCTGCTAGAATGGTATCTCTATACTGTACTACATGTAATCAAGCTTCAGACATTCCCATAACACCCTTCATGTAAAAAATCAAAAGTTTATATATATCAGATACTGTGTGTTTGGACACTTATAGTCCAGTACAATATTCCAATGCTGTGAGAAGCAAAATGTGTAGTGTAGGATTAGAATGGGTAAAAACTTAGTGTTAATTTTTTTTTCCCCTTCTTTCAAGATAATTTTAATCTAGTTGCTTTACTGAAGGCTACTTCCACACAGGAATTAGATAATTAGTAATCTCATTAAGAAAAATTCTTTATTTTACGTGGATTGTGCCCGAGAGGAAAAAAATCTCAATCACTTGAAAACCTCATCTCCTCCTGCTTACCCCTCCCCCCTGGAATCAAAACAAAGTGAATCAACACAAAACATCCCCCCCAAACAAAGAGACAAACAATAAAATTATATTGCAATAGTGTTTTAACTCGGTTTGCTGGGGGGAGGGAGGAATAAATATAGGTTTGAATAGAAGTTGAGTGTTTGGAAGACTTATTTGCACTGAACAGTATCCTTAAAAGAGGGACTAGTATAGGTAGAGTCCCCAAATAAATTATCACTATTCCTTTTCAGACTAAAAATAAAACATTTTAAATATATTGATTATACCTTCATCAGAACGTAAGTATTCTATCTGGCCTATAGGTTCCAAGAATCTCTATTTGGGCTTAACTTACCATAATTTCAAAACAAAACAATGAAATGTGAAATTTTGCACATTAGGATGTTCATAGTGACCACATAAAGTAATAAAAAAAAAATAATTCACAGACTCTTAGCCATATATTTCAACTTTTTCTCACAGTTTGAAACTGATGAAAATAATTAAAAAAAAAACAAAAACAAAAAACAAAAACAAAAAAAAAAACCATCAGTTTCCTGTTAGGAATATATATTTTTTTAATTATTATTATTCCCTGTTAAAATCAGATGTGTTTATGTCCTTTGGGGCTTTTTAAAGAATGTTAACTTTTAGGGAGCATGTCATGAGTGAGAAAGTAATCAGACAAAAATTAAAATGTATTCTCAATGAATATCTCAATCATATCATGCCACTGACTAAGCCACACTCTCTACTGATTTCAGGCTAGAGTGGGGCTTGAAAATCTCTGGTATGATATAGGACTCTCATTGATCTGAACAGGCTTTCAGTCATATCCATTGTTCCCTGACTTCTGATGCTTTTCTTCATCTGTATTTCTTTCTTGTAATAAAGATTTAGAATTGCATTTAAAGTCTATGAATTTTTGGGTCATTTTGACTCTTATTTCAGCCCCACCTCCATAGATACAAGATTTTTTTTGCTGTTTTCCAAGTGACAAAAAGTTGAAAAGTTATGGCTAGTTTTATTTCAATTTTAATAACCATACCTATATAATTGTCATTTTCATACATTAAAAAAATATTTATGCTTTCTTTTATATTTTAGTCAAGTACTTTCTTAAACAAAACAATAGCACCACTTTGGCATTGTTGGCCAAATCAGTAACAGGTAAAGCAAATATGTGTACACTTTTCTGTTCTTGTCATTTCCTGAACTTGATAATTAAAGGGAGAACCAAGAACACACAGTGCTTGGCCTAAAGTCCCCATTAATCAGTTTTAAATATTGATACTGAGAGAACAACAAGCTCATGGGGCAACTGAACATAGCCACTAGTTGTGTATGAAATTCACTTCTGGAAAGAAAGTCCACCACTAATTTATTTACTCTTTAATCTTACAGAAAGAATTGACACTGTTAGCTGACTTGGAAAAAAGGTGCCTATTTTGATGTGTCTGCAAGGACTGGATGCAATAACCCATAGTTTGATTTTCTTCTCTCTCTTGTCTGAATGGCACAATTGAGCCTCATACAACTCTTTCACAGAAATGTAAGTGTAGGTTTGTAAGTACATTTTGAGCAAAATAAAGAATTTATTCATTTTCTATTTAAACTCTTAATGATTAATTATGTTTACTGTGGAGATAAGGCTCAACTTTTGCCACCTTGATGAAAGAGATATATTAACTTCAGTGGGTTTAAATCTGCAATGCTTTTTGAACTGACTGAAAATAATGAGGCTGAATTACCTTTTTTTTCTTATGCATTTCAGTGACATTCCATGTAATAATTGGAGTTTAAAGTCTACTCTAGAATGCAAAAATCTGTTACCTCTCTCATGTGACTTAGATGATAGGAAAGGATGGGGAGTGGGCTTTACCATTTAAGTGATTTATGAGAATCAATGGCATCCAGTGGGAGCCTTGTTCCTAAATATCTGGAGTGCTTTTGAAAATCCAGCTGAACCTTTCAATTTCTCTAATTAGAAGTTTTTCAAGTCAGACTGCTTTGTACTTTTGGGAGGGAGATGTTTTGGCTCATGCTTCAACTTCTTTAAGTAGAGGATTTATTAAGATTATTAAGCTAATACAACCCTTTATCTTTCACACTAACTGGTACATCATGTGCTCCTGGCCGTATGACTGGATATTTCTTACTTAAAATGCATCTCCCATCCATGTATTTCTCACCTCTGTGGGGCTGCAGCTACTTTCCATTTTGTGATACCATTTATTTGCTAGTAAAGCGAAATGTTGCCTTTGAAGTTTGTAGCTCTTCATTATTTATTTTAGTTTCTTCCAAGAATTGTTTTAATTTGTTTAGACAGTTGTCGGGCTGTGATGTTAGATAATGCTGTGTCTGAGTGACATTTTCTAATTATGATTTCTCAAAAGGAGAAATATGGTGGCATGAATGTGTGTGAATCTCAAGATAAGACAAAAAATTTGAATTAATTCACAGGAATTAATGCAAAATGATGTATAATTATTCAGTTATGTTAACAGTGCATCAGTAAAAAAGTTATCTGCAAAGAAACTTGCCACTACAGCTATCTGCAAATTGCTTTCTACATTCACATCTTTCTTCCTTCCTCCCCTTAGAACTTCAGAGGATATAGGGGACAGAAAGGGTCGTGGGACATGAAATGGAAATATGTATTATGCCTGTGACATCAAAATAATGGCTTATTCTTCGACTGTATTTCAGAATTCTTACAGCCATTAAAGTAAAAGTACTTCCCTCTCCATCCCCCAGCCAAAAAAAATGCCTGTAGGAGCTGTGGCAGGTATCAGAATTGCTAACTCTGTCTATTGAATTGGTGGTAAATAATTCAGGTTAGTTTTCACACCTGTTTCTCTGCACTCACTTCCTTTTTCAACATAACTATCTCAGTCAGTGTCAGCTGTGACATATTCTTTTTATTCATTTACTGTTCTACTTTTACATTGCTATGGCAGCTTATTGTGTATATAGACATCCATCTCACAGAAAGCCGAGGGTTTAAGGAATTGCATAGGAATACATTGCACTTGTTAAAAATACAAACCACAAATTTTCTATGGGAATAAAAAAGGAACTATAATAATTTGTTAGACTTTAAAGACCTACCTTGTTTCACAAGGAACTATTGAGGAGCTGTATGTATGCAGTCTGCAGAGAACCTTTTCTTGTGTTTTAGTCAATACTTCAGTTATCTACTCCCCTGGATGTGGTAGAAAGGAAGGCAGATTTGAGCCTTGTAAAAAGGGATGCTTCCTTTACATATCTAATCTATCATCTCCCTAACTGCTCACTTCAAACAGTATTGTCCAGGTTCTGAGTTTACCACATGCAGGAAGGTGAGGAGAAGTCAAGTGGAACCACATTAGAGTTCTTGGACAGGATGGGACAGTGCATTCTCCCCCAGGCCCCTTTCCCTCCACCCATCTAGTCTTCCATTCTCTCACAGAGAAGTTTATTGCTCACCTTGGTCACCTTTGGCTACCCATCCCCCTTCACTGCATGGCCAATCTGGCATTCAGTTGATGTACAAAAATGGAGCATAGGACACAGTGTTATTCAAGGTAGAACCAGTGCAGTGCCTATCAAAGTTATGTAACAGGGGATTGTAAGGAAGGAAGTAAGGATTTTATGGTTAATCTCTTCTTGGGGACTCTTTCTACACTGCAATTTGGTGATTAGATCAGCTTTTCTGATTTGCAGGGAGATGCAGAAGCCCAATGAAGAGTCATTTAAGTCACATCTGATTGTGAGAAGAATTAAAATGGAGGGGAACTTGAGTACCTCTCTATTATGTTTGAATAGAATGATGACATTTCAGGAAGTTTCAGGCACTGATGGACTAACCCTTGAAATCATTTGAGGGCTGTTTTTCAAATTGTTTTCTCTGGGCCTAGACATCTATGAATTTGTGTTCCACATAACCGTAAGTGAAAACACGGTTTTCTTTTGGAGATGGGAAAGTTATTACCATATTGAAATCTGAAGCCATTTCAGTTGGTTTAAGCTGAATAGTTTTGAAACTATTTTGTTATTTAATCTTTGGCTTGGTCCTTCCACATTTGCTTTTACCTATTACTGTTTTGGCCAGACCCTTTCATGTAACAAACTATAAAATAGCACCGTTGTACTACAAAACAGAGATTTTTACATACTGTTTGATATATGTGTATTATTGATATGCTAAATTTTACATACTGCATTATATGGAGGAAGAAAGAAGTTGCCTATACTGTTGCAAAATAATTACCTGGAAGAATCATTACTGGTTTGAGAGCCTATGTATGCTTTAACTGCTTTAAAAAATCTTTTGTCTCACAAATTGCAATAAATTGCATGTTTGTAAGAGAAGGAAGAATAAAACTGTTTTAAAACAAATGCATCTATAACCCATATTCTGCTGAAATGCCACAGGTGGAATTAATGGATGTTTAAAACTGTATATGTTACCTTACTGCTGCTGTTACTGGGAATGCCAAACTGTGCAAATATGAAGGGGTAGACAAACAATGTTATCAGACACTGTAAAACAAACAGCTTGTTGCTTGTATAGAAGTGCAAATAAAAAAAACACCACTTAGACAAGGCTGATGAATGACTCCAGCAGCCAGTGTTCATAGGTTAATTTAGTGCAATTGGATCCATCAAAGGCCCATAAATTTGTAAGCATTTGAGGGGCACAAGACTTTAGGAGTTTTTGTGCAGGACATTTAAAACAGGTTAACAAACAGTAATATATCAACCACAGAAATTTTAGCTCTGGGCTGGTTAAAATGTTCTGTTCTCTAAAGACTTAATATTGGAATGTTTAGTTGCATTGTTCACTGGGAGAATGCCCATTGGTTGAGATTGCATCAAGCTTTTTAAAACAAAGGTTTTTTTAAGTCTTCCAATGTTTAACAAATAATTTATTTACAGCAAAGTATCCTGCAGATGGCACATTCATTCTTCATTCTTCTGGATGGCATGTTCTTACATTCTGTAGTTTCTGTTTCCTGTGTTCCCTCTACTTGTATTCTTCAAATGCACTTCCTGAGGGTTTAGAAAGAAAAATTTATTACAGATAGGTTTCAATACTTTGTATGACCACAAAACTTATAATAGTGGGAAAACAGTTACCCAGAATGCTGGAATTGTTAAGACCCCTTTCTGCCAGTTCACAAGGAATAGTCTGCAGAGAATCTTCTCCTGTGCTTTTTTTAATCAATAGTTCAATTATCTACAGGGATAACAATATAGAAATTCTGAACCCTAAATTTTCCAGTTCTCTTAGACATAAATGATTGCTGTCGTTTTTGATTCTGGCAGAGGAAGCATCTGTATACTGTAACCTGGATGGGCTTAGCCATATAGTAGGTACCAAAGATTTTCTTTCACAAGTACATTTGCAAAAGCAGGATGTTTAGGGGCCAAGGAACTACGGAGTTGTAACTGCAGGATTTACAGAGTCTCTTGGGCTTTGGTATCCAGTGTTTTCAAAATTGCTCTGCTAACTGCATATTGCGTAAATGGCTTATTAGATATGTTGGATTTTGCTGGATAAGACCTTGAGGAGGATAAAAAGTGTTTCTTCAGTGTAGGAGCTACAGTCAAATAATTTGTATTTTAAAAACAGACAGGGTGACATGCCAGGCAAATCAAGAGAGCACTGGAATGAATAATGCCCTGAGTTCACTGTCAGTACAAGCACAGGCCAGTTTCCAGCAGCAGTGATGGGTGTGACATATACACTTGAGTTTGATTTCCTTATTTACCATGCTGGTATTTGCTGGGCCCAAAGCTTTGTCCATTCTGTATCAGAGTAAAGGCAGAATTTTTAAGTGACTCTCCATATTTATAATCCTCATCAGAAGTCAGATTCTTAGTTAACTGAAATCTATCTGTTCTAAGAAAAGTCAAAAAGAAAAAACTATCTGTGAAATGTGTAGCATGTTCATGCAGCTCTACCACTGCATTAGTTGCTATTAAAGCCCTAAAAATAAGGAAATGTAGCCTCTAAAATTTAAAAAGTAATAAGATTTGTCTGCTTTTCTGATGGACAGAAAAAAAAAAAGGAAACTAATTTGGAGCATTACAGTTTTGTGGGGTTTTTTAGAGATTTCCCAGATAACAACCTATTCTAAATATAACTTTTCCATTTCCTTTCAGTATCTATTAAACATAAAATAAATCAGAAACTGGCAAAGGATCACAAAACTTGAGCTCACTTGAGCTTATTAATTTTCTCTGGATTTGGATTGGATTCTCATGGATATGAGTTGAATTATTATTTTAAATATATAAAATAAAAATTAAGCAGTACTAGTAATTGTTAAATTAATTATACCATTATCAAGTAAAAAAAAAAAAAAAATTAAGCCAAACTAGAGCTTATCATCACTGACAAACCAAACTTGTTGATAGCAAAGGATTCATAATAAGAAATGTCTCTTTTAGGAATGTGCCATTCTAGACTAGATTAATCATCTAGTCACTTTTCCTGTGAAAAGTTCAGAAGGATACTGGCTTGTCTTCATCCAGTTTTGCCAATACTGCTGTAGAATGGCTTCCTTAGCATCAAATCAAATACAGAAACAAAAATGTCAACAGAATTCTGCTTATCCATACGCTAACATATTTTTTGCTTTTCATTGCCTATTTCTGTTCCAGCTTTTCCAAAACTACCTTTGCTGTCTTCAGTCTTACCTAAGTTGTATGTTAGTTTTCACCCTGAAGTACTCATTCATTGATTTTCACAAAGATCATCATTACAGCGTTTCTCAGGAATCTGCCAATGTTAAGGATCCTGCTTTATTCTGCAAAGGCTTATATCAGTTACAATGAACTAGGAAAATGGGAATTTCTTTACTCATCTGCCCAGCTTTTTTCTGCACAGCCATAAAACAAAATATTGTCCTCAGTGCTGACCCTAGGTGCTCCTCTTTGAAGATAGTTTATCAGCATTTAGGAAAAGTTATATTTTACATTATATTTCCAAAAAGTCATACATTCTTAGGGACTGGAAATCTGTGATCTATAAAATGGACAGTGAGAGTCTTATAATGAAAGAACAGCCACTTTGCATTGCAGTGACTTTCAAAGTGTATTTAGATTGAAAATTACCTATATTTTTCTCAAACGAAAATACAAATTATCTCCACCACTCTTTTTGTCTGACTTTAAAATGGATTTATCAACCAAATAAAGCAGATACTAAGATGCAACAGGGTTTCAGTTACAGCTTTTAATGCTGACATGTAGGTAAAAAAAAGAAAAAACAAAACTGCCATGATGCACAAACTAGCTTTGAAATTGAAGGAAGAGGGCAGGTTACTTTTAGAACATTTTCTTCTTCAGATTCAGCATTTTAATGAATAACTACAAATAAATTCCATTGGTGGTAGTAGCAGTAACACGCATGCCAGAAAATGCTTTGACCCACATAACACACTTTTTCATGTATGTAATGCTGAGACTGCTGGGAAAAACAAAACAAAACAACAAAGTTATGAATGTTTGAATCAGGTTCTCAGACCTGCATTTGTACTGGTATATCAAAGTTTGCCTCATTTCTCAAGTCTTGGAGGACAGGATAGTTAGAGATAAAATTCCACCTATGATGCTTGTTTTATTGTCAAATGCTCTGAACTGATATTCAGACCTAGATGAATAAAATCATCATTTTAAGATGAGAGACGCAAAATGTGAACTTTATATAAGTCAGCTCATGAAAAGAGAAGCACAAACTTCTAACCCTTCACCTACAGCATGGATCTTTGGAGAAAAGAAAAAAGGATAACAACTACCTCAGTCATAGTAATAGTCATTTAACTGAGATGGAAGGATATTGGGAAGCACACAGCAGCATTCTTATCCTATTAGGACAGACATTTAAACCTCATATTGGCATTGAAAGTTCTCTTGCTCTACTGGTAATAAATGGAAAGTCTAGTGTTTGTAGTAACAGGCATGATACCTTAGCTATGAACTCTCTGGAGGCTCTTTGAAATCTTTTCGGTTCTGTGGGCAATGTGATCAGTAATATAAAAACAGAGTTGGAAAGTAAACAGTGGGAGAAAATAACTATCTGAAGAGTCCAAGTCCTTCTATCTGTTACACCTAAAAGTTCCCTCATTGGCTTAGTAATGTGGCATGGCTGCAACAGAAATTAGGATTGGTGCCGTTGTGCATACTTTGGCCTGTAAACGTATCTGTGAGTTGATACTGAGCCAATTACAGAAGAATCTGCCAGTCTTAGAAAAATTAACAAGAAATAATGCAATACTTTTCCTGTTTTCTTAAAGGCATTTTCTTAAACTAAAAATTTTAATATCTTTTCCCTTTCTCTTTCGGTCTCACTCAGTATTTATTTCAATTTTGAAGAGTAGATAAAATCAGAAGAGTATTTTTGTGAGAATCTGCTTCCTATTCATACTTTGTTGGTATATATATTCATATATATTTTCCACATGTAGGCCTAAATAAGAATAAGGACTGAAAATCTGAGGAAGAGCAAAATTATATCCAGATGTGCACCTCTTTTCCCCTTTTCCTTAGGATGCAAGGGAATGGATGGCATGGCACTGTGTTCATGAACAAGTTCAAATTATGCCAGGAATGGTTTAGATTGGATGACAGGAAAAATTTCTTCACCATAAAGGTTGTCAAGCACTGAAACAGGCTGCCTAAGGAAGTCCTGGAGGTATTTAAAAGATGTGTAGATGTGGCACTTAGAGACATGGTTTAGTGGTGGAGTTGTCAGTGCTGTGTTAATGGTTGAACTCAATGATCCTAGAGGTCTTTTCCAACCTAAATCATTGTATGATTCTCTTTTACTAAATTTTAAAATCAGCCTTACCAGTGTTTACATTCATGTAGTAATTTTCAAAGTAAATTAATAAGAACTTTGTAACATTGATTCTGTGACACTGCTTCATTTAGAAAGGTCGCAGTCTTCCCTCTCATGTATAGTTGTGGAAATTGCTCAGTTAGTTCTTTTCTAGGAGAGTTGTTTTTCAAAGTTCTACTCACTAATTTTCCAAATTGCTGTTAATATTTAGTTCACTTTTTGACTAAATTTTTATTCTCATTTTTCAGAAGAGAAAGATAAATGGAAGAAAAGCTAGATAGGGCCATGACATGAAACTCAGGATTTAACTTCCCTTCTTGCTCTTGTTTTGCACTTTAAAACTCTAAATATGAACTTAGTGTAAAAATAGGTGAAAGCATTACTTTGCTTAAACGAAAACACAAATGCTGGATTTGTCATTTAAAAAGTTATGAGGAGATTCTGAATAAAGACTATATCAGATATATGAAAGGCATATGAAACTGATTGTCTATGAAGTCTGAGAGTAACTGCATAGTACTTTACACTTAATCCTACCTTAAAGCTTGCATTTGATAAGAAAAATTTAAAGAAGTCATATATAGTATCTCACATACATATGTTCACTTCCTATGTATAAGATATATATCTCATATACAACATATAGTATGAAGAGAAAAAAATATTCTAAAGCAGAAAAAATTGCTTAACTGAAAAATAATTTTACTATAGCATAACTTTTTTAATTATGATCAGTGACACTATGAACTACCTAAATACATTCATATTGGGAGAGCCTATTTAAAGAAAGTATGAACATAATTGCCTTTCTTAATGGAGGCATGTACAATTGTATGCAAAAAGAAAAGAGAAAGAAAAAATCACAGGGGAATATGTACCTGACTTTTTCCTAATGAAGTCTGCTTCCTTTCCTTTCCCTGTATTTTCCTGTCATCTATCAAAAATATGAATAATAGTTTCTCCTACTCTTTCTGTATTTTTTTCCTCAATCTAGTTTTCTCCATCCACAAATAATAATGAAAATTTCAGTTTGTTTTCCCCATCAGATTTCTGTTATTTTATTGCCAAGTTCCTATCAAGAGACATTTATGATTCTTTTTCTTCTGTTCAACTTTCTCCTCGTTTTCACATACAGTTTCTCTAAAGGTGTTATTTTCCTTAATATTAATTTTCCTCTAATTTTATTTTTTCTCCCTTTTTCTCAAAGTCTTGTATTTTTTTTGTGATGATCTTGGTTCATTCAGTTTTTCAATATTTTACATCTTCTCAAACTCTTTGATCTAATTCCCTCCCCCTTCTTTTCTTATGCTCCTTATTGTCCCTTTATTGCTCTTCTCACCTCTTGATTCTTTCACTTTTTAATTTCCTGGATGGTTTCTTCTGCAGCTAGGCTCTCTCAATTACTCAGTTACATACTCTATTTTTTTTCTACTTCCAGTACCCCTCTGGAGCACCACCTCCCCTGACTCTGGAGGAAGATGCAAGGCCTTTTTTCTGGTCCTTCCTGTTTGTAAGAAAAGTGTTCTCCTGCCTGAGTTTTGAACTGGGAAGAGGACGGCTGCCTAAAGTATGACATCATCATTCCTTAGTCCTCCAAGGAAAGTGGTGTGGAGATCCATCAGAGAGCTGGCAGGTATCTTGTCTCCTTTACTTGAATGTTTTACCAATCACCCTAGCAACAAGTATGGGAAGGAGAACACGGATAACTGGCCAAAACTGTTTTCTTCTTTTCCAGCAAGCCTTAAGTTTATGCGTGCCCAGATAGGAACAAACCACAGCATTTTCTTGTTTACAGCTGAGCTCTACTTGAAGAGCTCGTCACTCATTGCCCTGTGTGCCCTTTGAGATATTAAGGGCTAAGGTGATACTTCCCAGGAAATATCACACAGACACTGCTTTAAAAGTTTGAAAACTCTTGAGGAAGAGGTGAAAGGATTCCATTCTGTGGATTGATTTATGGAAAAAAATGGATGCTGGAATGATTGCAATTGTTCTTTTCATAAAAATGTTATTAAGGAAATTATTTTACAGTACTGGTTTCCTTACTTCCTATGAAACATTAGGTTTTCATGCAGTTCCATTTCTTATAAGCAAAAATTTTCAGATAACTGCAGGAGTGGGGCCAACATATGTGTAGGACAGACAGGGTCAACAGCAATAAAATAAATCAATAGAGACTTAGAGCAGAAGACAAATAACATGTAAAACAGATGTTCAGAACTCAAACAGGAGAGAGGGTTGTACATGAAATCAATTGTAGCCTAGTTTAAGATGGGTTTTCTGAACTATAGGCTCTGTTGATACATATATATATATATATATACAGTATATCTAGTAGTGTAGGAACAAAAATCTGGATATTCTGAACTCCACAATTATATGAAAAAACCCCCCAATATTTAAAGTGCTTGAAGAATATATGTATTAAACTTTAAATACTTAAAATGAAGTATGTACTGAATTGCAGTGAGTATCCATTTAATTTAGTTCTGATAAATAAAAAAAAATTCCAAAATAATGAAGAAAGAAAAAAAATTTTTCATTACATGCAAAATGAATAGCAGAAGAGCTGTATTTTCCTTCTTGAGCACTCACTCTACCTCTGCCTGAAAGGGAAGGGTGAGTGAAGAGATTATGGATAGATGAGTTGTTAAACATTCAGTGTTTGGTTTCTCTTTTGAAAGCCTTAGGTGCTATTTATGATTGGATGACGTGAGTACTTATCACTTACTACTCTATAGCAGGATAAAGCCTCACAACTACTAGCTTAGCAATTCCATGTTTTATTCAGTGTTTTAAGAGATGAGATGAAATACACCATTTCCTACTCATTTCCTACCATGGAAACTATTTTCCAAAACTCCACTAAATCTAGTAGGCAGAACACATCAGTTGTCTTCTATGCTACCATCCTCGATAGAATTTTCCTTCCCTAAAATACATAGGGTTTTCTTCGTCGATATTTTTTTGGTTTGATGGTGGGTTTTTTTGTTTGTTTGTTTTTGTTTTGTTTTTGTTTGTTTGCTTGCTTGTTTGTCTTGGGGTTTTGTTTGTTTGTTTTTGTTTGTTTTTGTTTTGGATTTTTTTGGTTTTTTTGTGGTTTTGGGTGTTTTTTTTGTTTGTTTGGTTTTGTTTTTTGTTTTGTTTTGTTTTTTTTTTTGTTAGTTGTTGTGAATTTTTCCCAGCCTGGCCTACCTTTTGTGCTTTTGGCATATCAGTGTGGCGCTGAGCACGTACAGACCGTGCAGACTTGGGTGGCTTTATTGGAGCACAATACATCTCCAGCCTCCTCAGGTCACAACTCTGGAAGCAGCATTCATCCACTATTCCCTTGTGGTGTAAGCGTCTACTGCTGGATCCATACCCTGTAGGCTTACCTATTCAAAACACAAATGGAAAGTTTTTTCATTAGAAAGAAAATGCAAAGGTCTCAGAAGCAGTCATAGCATCAAGTTGCATTATTTTAAGTAAATCACCAATGACCATTGTGGAGCCTGTCTGTAGGCATCTCTTCTAAGACCCTGTTCTCAGACACACTTTTTAAAGAAATTCTAGCTTTTATCTTTGTCTATGGGTGTTCACTATTTAAGCATTTGAGCAAATATATGCATTCTTGGAAAAAGCTTATTAAAATATTTTCCTGAGCTGTCTTAGCATTGAAAATGGAGAGGGAGGAATCTGAAATCTGGCATTCAGAAGCCTTATAAAGGAAATTTGCCCTTTAGCTTTAGGATGAAAACTGATTGTTGAGCCAACTGAGGCAGCTGGTGTGTAAAGATCATAGATCATGACTGTGTTGTAGACAAATATTTCCTAGTAAAAAAGGCTGCACCGAGGTACTGTGTGAAGTCAGAATGTGTTCCAAAGGGGAAATAAATACTGCATACAACTACATAGGCTGTAAGATCTGCAAGCTCAAAAGCTAGTGGGAAGCAGGAAATAAGGTAACAAAGTAACAGATGAAATGCAGCAAAAATAGGAAGGTGGGCGATGGAACAGATAAAAGCAGGAGATTTTATATTCCACAGATTTGTACAAGATAGGAAATGGGGCTGACATAACATGGTTTTCCTCTGTTTTGCACCAGGCATCTGTAGAAACTACTTAATTGGCAAATATTTTCCATTTTTTACTCGGCTCCAATGAAGGGCAACATTTTCATTCACACAACTCTTACACACATATTTTTGTCTTTTTTTCCCCAATGGTTTTTGATTTCCTTAGTAACTGCTAATTTCTCTGCTATAATATACAGAGATTAAAGACCCACTATTTCCTGGGCTTGTTTGTGTGCAACCCAGTTGGATATGTAGTTGCCTTGTTATGACTAACTAGAAATGAAAGATAGTAAATTCACAAAAAGTAAGTACCTGCTTACTTTCTATATCTATTTTAAATTCTGATAGAATTTGATTTCACACACTGAAATTCTGAAAAGATTGTTTTGTTTTGACATTTTTCAGCATTAAATATTTCCATTTACAGAATGATCCACATTAGTTAAGAACTGAAAAATATGGGGGGAGGAAGGAAAAAAAATTACACCAAGAGCCAAAAAATGAAGTAACTCAGCTCTACCAATTTCTTTTCATGCCTTTATTTTTTTTTTTCCCTTCAGTTTTATCACTGAGACCAAAAATCTGTTATTCACAGAGTTTGGCAGGAGTTTACGTTTTAAGAATTACTCAAGCTAGATAAAGGATAAGGGTATCAAAAATTCAATTTCTTTTTGAGAAATTATTGCACCAAATGCTTACACAGCAAATTCTAGGTTGATGTCCAGGTTGTCAATTTGAGAAGACGACACTGCATATTGTAGTACTCTGTGATTAAAAAATGTATCCACTGATGAAGAACCCTTGAGGCCTTAGAACATCAGTAAATGAAAAGACCTCTAGTGGTAAATTATGTCACATTTTAGCCAGCAATACAACTAGCTAAGAACTAACTATCCCTATGAGCTTTGTAAACTCAGACAACAGGTTTTTAAATGTCTTTTTTTTTTTTTTCTTTCCTGGGACTATAAATTAAATGAAAAGAAAAACATGCTTTCTTAGTATATTACAATCCACTGAGGGCCTCTATATTGTACATTGCCTGCTAAATCATTTGTTTCATAAGACTAAAGAGAAGAACAAGCCAGGAACAGATTACAGTAATATTTTGGTTTGTTTGTGTGTGTGTGTGTTGTTTTATGTGTATCATTGAAAAGTATTATAAATATTAGGATGTAGAGTTCTGGGTTTTTTTTCCAAACTATTTTCCCTCACTGACTTATATTATAAATAACAAGCTTTCTGCTGAAGATTTTTCCTGAATTCTGTTAATCCAGTTGTTTTAGCCTACTATTTTTAAAATTTAGCAGTCAAGATAATGTGTGGAGTGCAATTAATTTGCAGTATACCCAGAGCTGTGCCACATTTTGTCTTGCTCCCATTTAAAGAAAGGTAGGGCAAATTCTGTTCCTGGATATGCAGGTGTAACTCTTGCTAATAGATCTAGCTGAGCTACAGGTACAAACAACTCATTAGTTAAACTTCCCTTCCTTTTCTTAGTCTGTCAATTTTTCATAATCAAACACACCTTAAAAACTTCTGTTCAAGTTATTTTATCCTTCAGTGTCTGAACTTAACCATTAATAAATATGTAGGATCTTTGTAATTCGTAAAGTTGATAAAGTACCTTTAATAAGCACTGCCTGCCTTATTTAGTAATCAGTGGCAACATTTCTCCTCGCTATCACATTCATAAATATTAATACAAATCCTAAATCCTGGAATCTTTCTGGTGCAAATCTCAGTGCACTTCAAAATCATTTTTAGTGTAGCCAGACCAAAGACATCTATGAGTTACTTTTCTTTCTGACAGAACAATAATTTTATGAAGGATTATATAAAGTCTAATAGCCCTTTAGAAAGCCTATATGGCACATGTTACAGCACTGGAATGGAACCACTAACACATCACTGATGTGATCAGCTATGAAACTTAACATTTATTTATTTATTTATAAGCTTAAATATTCATGTATCACATAGTACACTAAATGCTCATCCTTCATAGAAAGATAACATTAGTACTGTGAAGTTAGACTTTTTCTCTTTAAAAATGTTTTCCCAAGGTTTTTGAAAGACCTAACCAATCAAATGTACTTAAGATTTGGGTGATATAGAAAGTGCTGTACAACAGAGAGAACAAATTAGTCGAAAAAATATTCTTTTTCAATAATCATGATTCTCAATCATGATTGAGAAGTATCTGATGTCTAATGTAATTTTAAAGCAATAGATTTTAAATTGCTCGTGTCCTCTTAAATGCTGCAGTTTACAAAGTACAGCTATTACAGAGAAAGCTGAGATAAAGAATTTCAAGGAGATACTACCACTTCTACAGATGTTATCATTATTTGGCCCATCTGCTTCTGGAAGGACTGCAGGACCAGATGGTCCCAGTTCATCAAATTACCAAAATATGCATTTAGATCTAGGTAAATGTTCAAGCTCCTTTATAGTGTATTGGACAAAAACACATATTAAACAGTGAGCACACGCCTGAGTGCTCTCCTACACAGGGAGCTCTGATGTAGCTTAGCACTTACGATAACTTCTAGACCGAAATCCATGTTGGTAAATAAATGGCTGGTGGTTCTGCATTTTTAGTAAGATTTTTATTCCCCCCCTTTTTCTTTATTTTTTTTATATAATATTGCCTGCAGTATGGACTGGACCTTATGTGTCACTATACTGTGAACCCATATAGTTCTTTCTCCTCTTTCTGATATAATATGAATGCTGCCTTCCAACTGTTATCAAAAAGTTCCCTATATTTACTCAACCTTCAAAGTGCTGCCTGTGGACATACAACAGTCTTAGGCATTCCTTTTTGCTAACGTACACTGATTTTCTTGGAGGTTTCTTTCCTTTTTTGTCAGTTGCCAGCTCAAGAGAATTTCATATCACATAGGTCAAAGTTTACTTAATAGAATATTTGGCACTGGTTTAATCTACTCTATCAAATATGTGAATGTTTCTTCCAGTGTGCGACAAGCAGATACAAAGTCTAGTCACACTATTCTGAAGTCCCCTGAAAGGAGGCCAAGGTATAGAACTGCAGCAGTTAAACAGCTGACTTCTGTACTAGCAGCACTTCCCTCTAAATAATGCAAAGTCAGTGGAGTAATTCAACAGGACTTGTTTACACTTGATTTCTCTGTTTCTCCCCATCCCTCCAAAATACCTTACTGGTATAGGTGGACTATAGAAGTAACATATATCAAGTTATCTAGGCGTTCTGTGTAGAATCATAATCCACTATTGTAGTATTAACATTAGAAATTAGATAAGAAATAGCCCAGGATAAACACAAAGCTAATCTACTCTTTAGGGGACTTTAGGAAGAGTTGGGGATATGTGTCCTGGAACTTATATGTGGCTCTTTAAATTTGTTGTACATAGTGTCTTTTTTTAGCCAAGCATAGAATGCCATGTAGAACGTAATTCAGAAATAGACTGTAATTCAGAAATACATCATAAATCTGAAAAACAGTGACCTTATTCCTAACCTTCTAACAGAGTCAATCTTCAGCTGTAACTGCAGCTTTTGAAGTATTGTGAAAGGCCTTTAGTTTTGCTCTACTCTTGTAGCAAGACACTCACAATGTTTCCATCAAAACATCAGGGTAATATAACTTGTACAATTTTGAAACACTGATAGCAGCTTACAGTATTGGAATGTATGTGAGCATGCTATAAGGCAGCAGGTTGATCAAACAGAATTTTTCTGTGGTCTGAACAACAAGATTGAGAGTTTGTGGGGCTATGTTATAAGTCAGTAGCTGAACAAACTCATCCTGTCTCCTAGATCCAGACTGGGAGCTGGTGTTTAGCATGTTTTTGAGTTGCTTGTGCTGTCTGCCTTGTAGTGGCACAGGCACCAAGGATATTGAGTTTGAGATTCATCTAGCTCATCTTTGCTACCTGAAAATTAGGGATCTAGTTCCAGATAGTGAACTCAACAAGGAGGTGTGCATACAGAGTGGCTGATCCCTGTATTGAATGCTTTACTTATAATTAAACTCATCCTTGTCCTCTGAAAGAGGCAGTGTTCTTTCATGGACTACAGTTAAAGCTACTTGACTGAGTCTTAGCAAACTCCTTCTAGGAGTTCTTCTTGAAAGAAAATAAATTCTGCTCAAAATGATTCGTCCCAAATCACAAACTATATGCCCCGGGTGGAGTACAAAGCCATTCTCTTTCATTTCCAATTTAACAATTAAATGTAATGACAAATTGTTCTAAAAAGCACATCAGCCAGTGTACTGTTTAATTATATATCTCCATACCTCTTTAACTGTATTCTGTATGTTGGGCTACTATTT